CAGCCACAGCTGTGGAGGGCAGGGAGCCAGCGCTTCTGCTGTGTCCTCAGTGACTCTGGGCAGCTAATTTACTTAATGTTACTCAAACCTGGTGTTTTTAGATAGAGACAAGTAATGGTTTTCTCCTGATTCTGATATTTAATCCGACTACTCAGTGAGAAAATGTGTGTAATGACCTTGTCACAGGCCTGAATAAGCATTAGTTTCTGGTATTGTTATTAGCAAATCATCATTTTCATCAGGTTTTCTTAGCTCATATTAAGTATTTGCCAAGTGGCAAGTGTGGTGCTGTGGGATTCGCATGGATCATCTCCATTCAGGCCAACATAGCCCAGTAAGGAAACCCTCGCTTATCCGCAGGGAAACAGGTTTCCAGAGTACAGTGTCACCCATGGTGATGGGGTGCTCAGGCGTGTGTGAGCCTGGGCACTGGGACTCTGTGTGTTTCCCACCTCTTCTGTGGAAAGAGAGGAGAGGCCTGCCTTAGGGGCTCAGGGAGTGGGAGGCAGGAAGGAGGCCTGGCCCGCTGTAGACACCCTTCTTTACAAAGTATGGAGGTAAAGGCGAGAAGGAAGTGACAGCAGAGTCTAGGTAGGATTTCATAGTAGAAACTTGAGCCCTGACAATGAGCAGAACTTCTCACAACCATGCCAGCTTACATTTATTGAGTGATTGCTGTGTGCTCTAAAAATCCCCCTGATTTATACATAGACTGGGACATCATTGCCAAGGAGGTTGAGGACAGTCCCTTTGCTATATCCAGGCAGTCTTGGCTCCAGAGTAGCAGATATTGCACCTCGGCGTCCTCACGGGCCTGACAGTGCAGTGGCCACTGCCCCCCGCCCCCCGCCACTGCAGAGACACATCCCGAGGAGGCGTCAGACTCCCCCCACCCATCTTGCCAGTGCTGCTGACAGCCTCAAGCTAAAGGCTGAGATGGGGAACTAGGGCCAGGGACCTCCCAGGCCCTCTCCTGGACAATGAATTTAACAGAAAATTACCCCTGAATAAGCAGTTTCTATTCCCTACCATGTTACAGAGGGAAGGAAAAAGCCTCTTTGTATGTGACTGAGTTTGCTTCTGGCCCAAGGGTTTCCAGTTTGTACTCCTGCATAGTATCAGGGGGCAGTAGGCATGGTGGCCTCCTAACTGCACATGAAGAGGAGACGCAGGAGCACAAGACTGCATGGAAGTCAGAGCTAGATGGCATGGAGTACAGGGAGGGGAGTGAGAGGAGGGCAAGTGTAGTTTTTAAGAGGGGAAATTTTTATGCCCATGAAGGACCAGGTTGAGCCTACCATAAATCTGTATTCTAAAACAGCTATATTGATAATACATTAAAAGATAAATGTATCTTCTCTTTTATGTTCCAGTCATCCCAGCATGGCAGTACTGGGGTTTTTTTGGTTTGTTTGTTTTGGTTTGGTTTGATTTTTTTTAATTAATTATTTTTTAGTAAATCATAACATTGTACATTGATGCATTTATGGGGTTCAGGGTACTGCTTTGATATATAATATGAAATGTTTACATTGAACTAAGTAACACATCCATCACAATTAGACTCATTTCTTAATAATTTTGAAATGTACCATTGCATCATGTACATTAGGTGAGGTCCTCCCAAATGCCCTCCCTCCTCCCATATCCCCCCTCCCTTCCCCTCTCTCTCCTCTTCCCTTCTAATTCTGGACTATAGTTATGTTTTGCCATTTGTATGAGTGTCTAGGTGGTTATATATTGATTTCATAGTAGTCTTGAGAACATTGGATACTTTATTTTCCCATTCCTGAGATACTTTACTAAGAAGAATATGTTCTAGATCTATCCAGGTAAACATAAAAGATGTGAAGTCTCCATCTTTTTTATGGCTGTATAGTATTCCATAGTGTACATATACCACAATTTGTTGATCCATTCGTGGGTCGATGGGCACTTGGGCTGTTTCCATGTCTTGGCTTTTATGATTTGGGCTGCAGTAAACATTCTGGTGCAAATGTCTTTGTTGTAAAATAATTTTTGATCATCTGGGTATATACCTAGTAGAGGAATTGCAGGATTGAAAGGTAGGTCTACTTCTAGCTCCTTGAGTGTTCTCCAAACTTCTTTCCAAAAGGGTCGTATTAGCTTGCATTCCCACCAGCAGTGTAGAAGTGTTCCCTTCTCTCCATATCCACGCCAACATCTGTAGTTTTGGGATTTTGTGATGTGGGCCAATCTTACTGGAGTTAGATGAAACCTCAAAGTGGTTTTGATTTGCATTTCTCTGATGATTAAGGATGATGAGCATTTTTTCATGTGATTGTAGGCCATGCACCTGTCTTCATTAGAGAAGTTTCTGTTCAAGTCTCTTGCCCACATAGAAATGGGGTTATTTATTCTTTTCTTATTGATTAGTTTGAGTTCTCTGTAGATTCTAAGTTATCAGACCTTTGTCAGAAGCATAACCTGCAAAAATCTTTTCCCATCCTGAAGGTTTTCTGCTTGCTTTACTTACTGTGCTCTTGGCTGTGCAAAAGCTTTTTAGTTTGTGGATCCCGGTAATGTATTTTTGGTGTTGCTTCAATTGCCTGAGGGGTCTTCCTCATCAAATATTCTCCCAGGCCAATTTCTTCAAGTGTTTTCCCTGCACACTCTTCAAGTATTTTTATAGTTTCATGTCTTAAGTTTAAATCTTTTATCCAGTGAGAATCAATTTTTGTTAATGGTGAAAGGTGGGGGTCCAGTTTCAGTCTTGTACAAGTCGCCAGGCAGTTCACCCAGCACCATTTATAAAATAGGGAGTCTTTCCCCCACTGAATGTTTTTGATAGGCTTATGGAAGATCAAATGACGATAAGCAGCTGGGTTCATCTCTTGGTTCTCTGTTCTGTTCCATAAATCTACTGCTCTGTTTTTGTGCCAGTACCATGCTGTTTTGATCACTGTAGATTTATAGGATAGCCTGAAGTCTGGTAATGTGATACCTCTCAATTTGTTCTTATTTCTGAGTAATATATTTGCTATTCGAGGTTTTTTCTGATTCCATATAAAATGAAGTACTATTTTTTCAAGTTCTTTTAAGTATGACAATGGTGCTTTAATAGGGATTCTATTAAATCGGCAGATTGCTTTGGGTATGGACATTTTAACAATGTTGATTCTACCCAGCCATAAGCATGGTATGTTTTTCCGTTTGTTAACATCTTCAGCTGTTTCTTTTCTCAGAGTTTCATTATTCTCTTTATAGAGATCTTTCATGTCCTAAGTTAGGTAAATTCCCAGGTATTTCATCTTCTTTGGCACTATTGTAAACTAGCAGGGCAATACTGGTAGGTCAGACTTCTTTCCTAAGTCTCTGCAGTGGATGTCACAGGCATCTGCCTTTAGTCTTAGTTTTTTTCCTTTGCATTTCCATATTTGTTTTAGAAAGAGAAGTCTTTCATTCAAACCATTGAGTGAGCTTAAAATTATTTAGAAAATTAAGATACTTAGCATGCTAATTTGCTGAGTTTAAAAAATTTGTCTTTATACAGAGTTGTTTGTATCATTTGAGGTTTTCTTTTTAATTCTCACTCATTTAGGTTCGGCTGACTCCAGGGATGTTTTCTTAAGTATGCTTTCAGGTGGATGAGTTATACTTTTCAAGAATATAAACAATTATGAAGTATTGTTACTTTGTATACGTTAGAATCTTATGAGATTTTTCTTTTTGTTTAATTCATTGTGTTGGCTCTTTTTCTTTTAATCCAGAAATAACCAACAAGAAATACTACAAGTATAGCAAAGAGAAGACTTTAAAGTGGCTGGAAAAAAAGGTATAGTGTTTCTCCAGTGCTAGTGGCAAAAGAAAAATTTCATTGCTCCTTTGTAAAAATCTTTAGAGAAAGCAGTAAGTCTGAATCCAAAGACCATTCTGTATATCCAGTGAAACCCGTGGAGAGCTGTCCAATTGTGAGGAGGCATCTGTGACTTTTTATCCCCCTAAGAATCTTGATAGGTTACAACTATCAGTTAGGTTAGGTTGCAACTAATGTTTCTCTCAGAATACAGTGGGATAGGATTAGGATAGAACGTGTTAAAATATAGCACTGAGTGAACTCAGGTATTAAGTATGCATCTCTGAAATGTGTATGTATATATGATATGTGTTCATACATTGAGTTTCTGTGTATTAATGTGGGTTGTTCAAACAAAACAAAATGACTGAAAGCCACAGGTCTAAGGGTAACATTTACTTTCAAGACATTGTTTAAAAAATTTCACCAAACAAGTTCTGTTAATGACAGAGTTTTTGCAAGGTCACTGACCCAGCATTAGTAATAGCACTGTTTAGAAGATTCTCATCTATCTTATACGGAAAAGCCACATTTGTCGTATCACAGTATCAGGCACATTGGCTGCCTAGGATGCTCGAAGTGAGCCCTGTAAGATGAGTCAGAACCCTAATGTGTAACACAGAGAAAAGACTCACAAGGTGCCGTGTCTCCTTACTGACTTGTGTTATAGTAATCTGTGTAGCCAAGGGATCGTGTAGATGCTGAGCAGGATCTTGAGTTTGTTTTTGTTTTTGTTTTTGTTTTATTTTGTTTTGTTTCTGTTATCCTGGGTAGAGTGCTATGGTGTTATAGCTCATAGCAACCTCAAACTCCTTGGTTCAAGTGATCCTCCTGCCTCAGCCTCCCAAGTAACTGGAACTACAGGTGCCCACCACAACACCTGGCTGGTTTTTCTATTTTAAGTAGAGACAGGGTCTTGTTCTGGCTCAGGCTGGTCTTGAACTTCTGATCTCAAGGAATCCACCTGCCTTGGCCTCCCAGAGTGCTGGTGTTACAGGTGTGAGCCTTTGCGCCTGGCCTAAAATCTTGATACTTCATTTTTGCTCTTAGCAAATGATAATGACATGAAGTTAAGTGAAGTTTATATTTATCCTGTCTTCTAGGAAGTAGGCAATTTTTATTTAGTTTAGAAAATGTCTATGTATAAACTTCATGCTGGCTTCTGTTCTGAGGGCCTTATAGATCTATGTAAGCTCATTTAGCCCTCACAACACTCCTATGAGCTGGGTGCTATTTTTATCTCTGTTTCACAGATAGTACCACAGAGACGTTAAGTAAGCAGCCTGTGGCTCCAGAGTGAGAGCCCTCGGTTGCCACAGTGTGTCACATGTGGAACTGTGTAGGCCTCAGAGTCATGTATTGGGATCTCCCAGAAATCCTGCCACACAGCCTTCTGCACACAGGCAACCACCTCTCCTCTGCGTGTATCTGGCCAAGATATTTCCAAGTTGTCAAGTACTTCTCCCCAGATTTTAAATGGTTTGAAGGCCATCTGGAAAGGCATGGATTTCTAAGGTTAAGTTGAAAATACCCTGCTTTTCCTCTCTTGATTACTTTATAGGTTAATCAGACTATGGCCGCACTAAAAACCAATAATGTAAATGTCAGCGCCCGGGTACTGTCAACTGCATTTTTCTCCAGTGATCAAGTTGCCAGTGACAAGGAAGGTAAGTAAATTGTTTCTTCGGAAATGATTTTTGTCTGGAGTCAGTTGCTTATGTGTAAAGACCTATTTTATGATTTAAAACCTTAATGTCACAGAAGCCTCATATTCTTGCCCGTACCTCAGAGTAGATCTTCCGTAATTCATTGATACTTATTCTTTCTGCAAATATGTATTTTATACTAATAGTAATAACAGCCCAACAACCCTGGCTGTCATTTATTAAGGGTGTATTGTTTCCAGGCCCTTTGCTGAGTCACCAGTATACAAATACAATCTCTTCCCCCTCTCACGGAGAATCTCACAGCGAGAGTCTGGAGACTCTGTCCTGCATCTCACAGCTGGTAGACGGCAGAGCTGAGCTACTGATGGGCCTGTCTCTCAACCCACACCCTTACTTCTTTGTTACACCATTCCAGGGGTCTGTGCAGCTTGTATCTTATTCTCAGGAAGCATATTTTCTAATTTGGGGCTCAATATTTTCAGATAAAAATGGATTACTTGGCATTTTTCACATTTTACTCTTTTATAACCTTAAAAGGAGTATATTCATTTTTTCCCAATGTAATGACCTCTTATTTTTATGTATGTAGTTGAATAAAAAAAACTGCTATATAATGTGATTAACATTCTCAAAAGGTGGGACAGAAATTATTCTGACCTTAAGCTCCAATTCAGTATTCTCTTGTGGTGGTGTACAACTCTTGAACAACTGGCTCAAGTCATTAAACAAATAAAAACTAGGAATAGCCACCTGTTTGTGATTGATGGTAATTCAGGCCATCATTGATAAGTAAAATCTACCTTGCAACAACATCTTGCACATGGAGAAAGTTGGTTACTGCCATTCTAGGTGTTGTGGGTGGCATCTTTGCCATCCTGAGTTTGCAAAACATCAGTGTCTTGAATGTAACAGAAGGAGAGGAGGCATCCAGTTGGATAGATATATATGTGGATGGATAAGGCCATATTTTTTTTACGTAGAAAAAAAGATGTTAGAGGTTAGGTAGATCTTCTCATTTTAAAAATAGAAAACTGTGGTTTCTCATGGAATACTATTCAGCCATTAAAAAGATGAAGACTTTACATCTTTTATGTTTACCTGGATGGAGTTGAAGCCCATTCTTCTCAGTAAAGTATCTCAAGAATGGAAAAAAAATCCAGTATACTCAATACTAATATGAAACCAATATATAAACAACTACATGCCCACATGAAGAAAAACCCCACAAATATAGTCTAGCAAGGAGAGGAGAAAGGAGGAAGCGGGGAGAGGGAGGGCGATGGGCAGGAGGAGGGAGGGCAGGTAGCGGGGTCTCACCTGATGTGCATGTGGGAGTGTTCAGCACGCCCCCTGTGAAGGGCTCAACTACAACTTGAACTTCACCTGGAAAGTGAAAACAATGTAACCTAAAAATTTTTACCTCATATTAATTTGGAATAAAAAAAAGAAAAAGAAAACTGGTCTTGGAGTGGTAGATGACTGCTCCAAGTTAGTAAGGGAAGTCATCAAGTCCACTGTTTCTACCAGTACTCTGCATTAAGGGTCTCAGGGCTTTGCTGTATTGCCATTTGGTGTCCAAACTGTATAGTCAGCTTCATACACTACAGACGGTGTCCTGTTCAGGTCTTTACTTTGATATGATACTATAATAGAAGAAGCAAATAACCTGTATGTTGCCTTTCTTAGAAGAGTTTTCTTTGTCTAGTCATGACCCACTGGATAATTGCTATCCTAGAACCACAGCACATTTTAAAAAGAGTCAAATGGTAACTTTCAGTTCTGTACTGGCAGTGAAAATCTCTTACTGAAGACTTTCTGAGATCAGGTGGTCACTAGACAGCAGTCATTTTCTAAGTAATACTGAGGCAAATTATTACCTTCACTTGAAAGCAGAAGAGAAAGGAAAAAGGAAGTCAGTGAATATCCCAGGAGCAAGGCTGGGGTCAGCTTTAGGTGGTTTATGCCCCCATCTTATTAAGTTTGATTATCCTGTTATATTCTACATATAATAAAGAATTTGGCAACAGAGTTTTGAAAGAGATTTTATTGTCTTATATAACTTTATTTTTAATTGATGCCAGAGCTGCATTTTGTTAACTAAGATCACATGCTTTAGAATTATTATTATTATTATTATTTTATTTTTTTGAGACAGAGTCTCACTGTCTCCCTCACGGCAACCTCTAACTCCTGGGCTCAAGCAATTCTTTTGCCTCAGCCTCCCAAGTAGGTGGGACTACAGGTGCCTGCCACAATGCCCTCCTGTTTTGTTGTTGTTGTTGCAGTTGTCATTGTTGGTTAGCTGCCCCAGGCCAGGGTCAAACCCACTAAACTTCAGTGTTTGTGGCTGGCGTGTAACCACTGTGCCACAAGCGCCAAACCTAGAATTACTGATTATACATTCTGCTGAGTTCATTGTTTTCTTTCTTTTTTTTTTTTTTTTTAAGGCATTTTATTAGCTTGGGAGTAATATTCAGGGTTCTTATACAGAAAATACTTAGTAATGGAGACATATCATATAGTATTTTAATTCTCAATAATTAGATTTATTTTTTATTGAAGCAGGCTTAGAAAAGATTAGCCTTAAAAAGACATGAATATGTTATATTGATATAACTGATTTTTCGACTTTGTTAGTATTTAAGTGTTTCGACTAAGAAAGCACCACGGAGTCCTGGGTCTGCATTATCGTATTTCTGCCCCTTTTGTTGTCATATCTCAGCCATCACCTCACCTTGCTCATCTGACACCCCACCATTGTTAACTAATCTGTATCCCCACTTTACAAATGAGAAAACTAAATCTAGACTTTAAGTAAGTTCCCAAAAGCCAGAGAGAGCCAGAATTTGAACTCAGTTCCATTCGGCTGTAAAAGCACCATGATCATTACTAGTTTTTATCCTTCTACTCTTCTTTATAATTCTTTCAGAGGATTATATTCGCTATGCCCATGGTCTGATATCTGAGTACATCCCCAAAGAATTAAGTGACGACTTATCCAAACACCTGCAGTAAGTATTGGTCATCTTCAGTTGTAATTACATCCTTTTGTGCTTCTTGGTTTCCTGAGCAACAGGCTTTCCTTTTTTTTGAGACGGAGTTTTACTTTGTCACCTTTAGTAGAGTGCCATGGTGTCACAGATAACAGCAACCTCAAACTCTTGCGCCTAGGCGATTCTCTTGCCTCAGCCTCCCAGTAGCTGGGACTACAGGCGCCCACCACAATGCCCGGCTATTTTTTGTTGCAGTTTGGCTGGGGCTGGGTTCAAACCTGCTGCTCTTGTTATATGGGGCCAGCTCCCTACTCACTGAGCCTCAAGTGCCGCCTGCAACAGGCTTTTTTCTTAATACTTACCCTGTGTTATATCATGTACTCTGTGGTATAGAGGTGATTTTTAATGAATAATTAGACTGAATTGATTTGGTGGATACTGATTATAGGAACCAGGGAATGTTGTTAGGGTTAGAATTATAGCTCATTCTGATTTTAGAGGATAAACTATGTTAAAATTTTATCCCTAATTGGACTTAACCAATCTGGTTCATTGTAATCATTTTAAGAGAAAGAAAGGAGGGTTGGAAAGGATAGACAGCATGTAGAATATTTTTGAAAATAACATTTAAATGTTTTGTGCCATTGCCACTTTCATCAGTAGATAGTCAGTAAAGTATCTTTTTTATGCCCAGTTCTTAGAACTCAATGTGAAACACAAACTGTGTCTCCGAGGGGCAGACGAAGGATTTCAACTGTCTTAATTTATGTTCTTTCCTTTACAGGAATCTTATATTAAGATTTTAGCTTTAAAAAAGTGGTTTTTTTTATGTTTCGGCAAAATCATTACTTAATTTTGTTGTTAAGATTTTATGCGTGGTGATTTAGAAGCTTTTCTGATCCTTATTCTTTTTATCCTCTGACCCATGAAGATAAAATGACTTTTTAATAAACATAGTTGATATTTTTTAGCTAATGCTATGCATGCTAGTTTAAAAAAACGTTTAATAGAAACTGGTTTCTACAGTAACATGTGTTGAAAACCTGCTTCAAATTGGTAACCATTTCCTTCTGCTTAATATCCCCTGGATTTCTTAGCTGCTAGTCTTGTTAGAGACCTTATGTCTTTGTACTCCCATTATTTGCTTAGATTCTTTTTTTCCTCAGAAATTTTTAAGTTTTGGTTAAAGATTTGGGGAGAAAGATATGCCAATTAAATTTCTTTTTAATGGAAGAAAAGGCAAAGTTTATATGACTTTTTCTCAGCAGTTAATTTTCACTTATAAATGTATGTTAGTGTGATCATTTATGAAGGAAAAAATACTCCAGTGCCCAACACAAACTTACGGAGGTTAAGGAAAAGCAACTGTATTTCAACAAATGGGTTCTAATTTATTTTTAGTACAGGCAGTGCCAGTACAAGGACTGAAGTAGCAAAATGCAGCTTCATTAATTTAGAAAACTTTCTTTCTTCAAACTGAGATATTTGAACAGCAAGATGTATGGAGACAAAGCTATGAGCCGAAAAGTTGGATTTGCTAAATCTTAAGTTGGCCGGTCTCTTTGTTTATTTGTCTGTAAACACCATGACCATGGTCCTTACTGTTCACTCCCTTAGGCTTCCAGAGCTTCCAGCTTCATGGCCAAATCCTCCATCAAAGGTAAGAAGCTGTGACTAAGATGTCTTTAGGGGACTTGGAAAAATATTCTGCTTATACCACATGAGTTTAGTTCTAGTCTGTTTTAAAGCCACTAAACCAGGGGTTCTCTTTGTACCAATGAAAATACATTTTGCATATCAGATATTTACATTACGATTCATAACAGTAGCAAAATTACAGTTATGAAGTAGCAGTGAAAATAATTTTATGGTGGGGGTCACCACAACATGTATTAAAGGGTCGCGGCATTAGGAGGCATTAGGAAGATTGAGAACCACTGCTGACTAAACCCTTTTGTATGGAATGGTGCTGGGTGGAATGAAGACTGCAATGGGCTCTCGTGTCAGTATTTTTTATTTCTGTAGATTTTACCTGAATGATAAAGTGCCATGAAAACTTAAGAAGAATTGGTATTAGCAAGATAACCCTTGCAAAGATACTATAGATGTATAATTAAAATTAAATCTTCCTATGTTATTTAAATCACCTAATTTAATTAACTTTATTAAGAAAAATACTCTCCATGTAACTAAAACTCATTTTGTCCAATTTAATCATCACTGTCACAAAGACACAAAGAGCGTGATTTTTGTAATACAGAGAGTCCTTTGAGCAAGGATGACCACAGTTTTTCCCCTGGATTTGAAAAGAGCATTGAAATCATGTGCAGTCTCCATCTGTTAATGGAAAACCTTTCCCTCTTCCAGACGTTGTCAGACTGCCACCCCTGGCTCCTCTGCAACTTGTGTTTATCTCCCAGACCAGGAGAATAGAGAAGCCAGTTTCCAAGCACACCTGAGTATGGGGTGGCAGAGTCCCTCAGGCAGGCCACATCTCGGCGAGTAAGGCCTGCTCCAGGACAGAGGAGTAAACTCAGGCACCAGCTGTCAGTGAGGCTGCCCTGCAGCCAGCAGGGTGACAGATGCCCAGGAATGTAGGGGGGATGGTAGCAGATGTGAATAACCTTCCTTTCCCTGCGTTCAAGGTGGCCAGCATGCTCAGAGACTCTGTGTCTTATCCTGTTCAGAGGTGCCAGTGCCTCCAAGAATACTTATTACTTTGATTTTTGGAAAAGGGCTGGAAATCAAAAGGGTGTCAGTGTTTTGGGGGGCCTTGTTCAGCTGGTTGTTAAAGGAGGTGCAGCTTTTATTGTCCAGGAGAACAGCACTGGGCAGAAGGCAGTTGTTGTAAGGTCTGAAAAAGACCATTCCAGGCCAGCCCCATGCTTCTGTCAAACTGCTGACAGTAGCTCTCCAGGACCCAGAGAGACAGAATTATCCTGCTATAGGTAAGAGGGTAGGTGCTCTGAAAGTGTTTCTTATTTTCTTTCTTCAAAATTAAGCATATAGCTTTCTCTTCAATGTCTATATTCCATAGTAACTTAGAAATTATTCCCAAGTTTATCTTAACCTATTCTTAAGGGTCTTAGACACCTTCTGGAATAATGCAGTCATAGGTTCATTGTCCTCTATTCCTGTTTTGTTTTATTATTTTAATTTCCAAACTTTAAGTCATTTGTGATTTCATCATTTATGATTTAGATCAGGGGTCAGCAAAACTTTGCTTCTAAGGCCAGATAGTAAATATTTTAGGCTCCGTAAAGCAGATGGTCTCCGTCACAACTACTCAATTCGGCTACTGCAGTGTGAAAACAGCCGTAGACAATACATACTCAAATTAGCATGGCTGTGTTCCAATAAAACTTCATTTGTAAAAGCAGGCAGCCAGCTGGATTTGGCCCCTGGGCTACGCTTGCCAAGCTCTGATTTTGATCTTGGCGTCTCCTTCCTCCTGAACCTCAGCCTTCTCGCCTGGACTGTCTCAGTTGCTTTCTGAGGCTCTGTCTTCCTGGGCTCCATTGCACACCTCTTAGACCACTTGCCTGTTGTGCCATCTTGTAAACGCACAGGAAGTGCCTTCTGCTAGCTGTCCTGTCTATGTCCAGGATTTGATTGATTTTTACAGTAATACAGTTGATTATTTTCAGGAAATTTATTCCAGTGTCCATTAGGTATCTCTGAACCTGTGTTGCAATCGATATAGCATGGATCCTGTCATCTTTAATATGTTTTGTATTATTTTTCCTTACGACCATGTGTCTGCCTTTGTTGAAGCTCAGCTTCCAGCCCTTAAGTATTTTGAATTTGTCATTGTCAGCAAGCAGAGCTGAGTGCAACCAGTGGGTTTGGAGATGTTCCCCAGATCCTTCTTGCAAATCATTTGTGAAAACAATAAGCCCAGGCCTAACATTAATCCCTGTGGCAGTCTGTTGTTTGTTCTTCTCTTTCCAGAACTCTATCCATTTTTTAATCGTAACCTTTGTTACTGACTTTCTGAGCCATTTTCTGTTTCTGATGAAACAATCCCATAAATCCATAGTGATTCACTCTTTTAAAATAACAAAAATTTCAGTAAATGTTACAATCCTGCTTTTCCCAATATGTTCAACAGTTTGCTGACAATAACATAAACATCAGTTATGTACAAAGGCTACCTCAGTTCTTTTCTTTGTTTTTTTTTTTTTTTTGCAGTTATCACGGGTGTCTTATTTGATTGTGAGCTATTAAAACACCTAAACAAGTCAGTTGTCTATTTAACTTTTTTTTTAGTTTTTTAAAAATGAATTTATTCCTGTTATGTCTAAAAAGAATCAACAGTGTTACTCGAGGTCTCACTGCATGCACATTTTATTTCTTGTTTCAGCCATGAAGTGAGCTTATTTGGAATGCTTATTTTAAATGGGCTTATTTTGTCCTTTTTTAAAATTTCAGATTAATGTGATGGTACAAAAGATTAGGTTACAATGTTTGCTTTTGTCAGGAATAGTCCCTGTTGTGTCCTGCAGGGGGTATCCTGTTCATATGGACATACCTTTCATTGATGCTATTGCCATAAACATTTTTTGTTTGAATTATCAATGAAAAGTGAATTGTGACTGGCATGGTGGCATGCACCTTTATTCTCAGCTACTGAGGAGGCCAAGGCAGGAGGATCACACGAGCCCAGGAGTTGGATTATGTCTATGAACAGTTACTGCACTCAGCCTGAGGAACGTAGTAAAACACCATCTCTTAAAAAGAAAAGTGAATAGTGTCCAAGTGTTTATAGTAACATCTATGTGAAGTCACATTTTGCTACAGAGAAGGAACCCATCCTCATAACTTCAAGCTTTTTGTATTTTGAAAATATAGCCTTTAGCATTTAATTAGCTGGGAGTCCTGCTCTCCTGGCAGAAGGTACCTTTCTAGTAAAATATAGCCTCACCTAAATACCCTTTGCTGTCTTTAACACGCAGCGTGTATTCCTACGAATGTTGCATGTGTGCATTCACTTTGCATCAGTAGGTGGGTCGTCTGTGACAGACCATTCGCTGTGGCTGCTATGTGGCCTTGAAGAGGCTTTCACGCAGTATGAGGTGTGTTCCCAGGAGGCCCCTCTGCTTTTCACGGGCAACAACTTCAAGACCTGTTGTCTCGGCTCGGCGCCTATAGCTCAACCGGCTAAGGCGCCAGCCACGTACACCTAAGGTGGCGGGTTCGAATCCCCAGCCTGGACCCGCCAAAACAACAATGATGGCTGCAACCAAAAAATAGCCGGGCGTTGTGGCGGGCGCCTGTGGTCCCAGCTACTTGGGAGGCGGAGGCAGGAGACTCGCTTGAGCCCAGGAGTTGGAGGTTGCTGTGAGCTGTAATGCCACGGCACTCTACCCAGGGGGACAGCTTGAGGCTCTGTCTCAAAAAAAAAAAAAAAAAAAAAAAGACCTGTTGTCTCTCCTTTTGGGGTTGTGTGTGATGTGGCATCTCTTAGCATCAACTCCGCCCATTCTTTGTTTAGCAAAAGCAAGATGGGACGAATGAAGCTGGGGCAAGTCGGTGTTTCTCAGGGTAGGTCTGCGTTGAGGCTCGTCAGCCTGGTGTCACATACAGAGAGCTTGAAGATCTGTGAGAAATGGAGCTGTGATGACCATGCAGTCAATGCTTGTGTTGACAGCAAGACTCACCTGTCCTGCTGCTGTGTGTCTCACACAGGAGCATGGCATGGTTTCTCCCATGTTCTGATCACCAAGTCCACCGACTAGCCCTTGACAGAATGTTTACATTGATTGGTGTAGAATGCTCATGTGAAAGGGAGAAATATTAAGTGAAGGTTTGACTTAGTTTCCCTGGGCCAGACAGAAAGAATGCTGTGACGACTCAGATGCTGGCTCAGGTTCCCTGCCAGGCGCTTAAGCTGTTCAGTTGGCTTTTCTGTGCTTCCTTGTCTTGTTGGCTGCTTGCTGTGCAAGGTGGGTTTGGAAAGGAGGGAAGGACATAAAGTTATACAAAGATGGTGGTAACAGAATAATGTTGTCCCTTTATTTGTAAGTGGACATTAAACCAGCCCAGGATGTGAATGAAAGAGGGTTTCTGCTGGACACCTGTCCCTCTCAGAGGGAATTCCCATCTCTGATTTCTGTGCCTCACCTTCACCTTGTCATCAGCAGTCCCCTAGGTCCCTGCTTCCCACGTGCCTGGGAGAAAGCGTGTGCTCACTATCAAGGATGTAACTGAGTCCTGAAGGCAAGGGTAACTGGGTTCTTGGAAGTGGTGGGTGCCTTCGTTCCCTGCGTCATTGGTAAAATGTGAAGGAGCTTGTACAAAGTAAGCCCTCTCCTGTGTCTGCTGTTCCATGCGGCCTTTGTGTAGGTCCAGATTACACACATGGGGTTTTTTTAATGGATTGATGTTCGTGTCAAGGTGACATTTGACACCACTTAACTGCTCTAACATTACAGAAAATAAAGTTATCAGATGAACCTGTAGAAGCAAAAGAAGATTACACTAAGTTTAACACTAAAGATTTGAAGACTGAAAAGGTATGTGTGTGCAGATTCGTGGCATCTTCTGTTAACGCACACTCGTGCTGCAGCGTGAGCAGTGGGAGAATAGTCGCAGCTCAATTGTGATCGTCTTTCTGACCAGGAAGAATTATTAACTTACATTTCTGTGACTTAATAATTAATTCAAACTTGTATATGACAGTGAAAAGGTTGAGCAATTAAAACTTTGCAGATCAAAGAAAAGCAACATGCTGCTTCTAGAGTGTGCCTAAACTGTGGGTTCACAGGGGGGTGGGCCGGGGGAGGGTCTGTGAGCCTCACAGGTAATTTCCTCAACCCAGCTGCCCAGAAGTTCCTAGAAATTTCTGATGATGATAAAAATTATGAATAACTTTACCATTCTCCATTCACCTTGGCAAATGTTATTTCAGTAACATTTCTTATGAGTTGAATCTTGTGCATACATTATATCTACATGCTAGCTTTTTAATTAGCATTATGATGCTTGTATAGGTTCTTGTTTCCACCTTTCCTTTGAGTATCATATTGTGAGAATTTCAGAGTTAATAGTTTCATGATGTTCAATCATGTGTATTACTTTATTCCATTTTATGGAATATGATTTACTTAATCATTCCCCTGATTTGGGACATAGAGGTTACTTGTAACTTTTTTCTGTTTTTTTTTTTCTTTTAACAAAGTGATAGACATTCCTACTTACAGTCCACATCTGTATCTGACTATTTCATTAGACACAATCTAGAATCAAGAGTAAGACCTTTGACAGCGTAAACCCTTTCGTGATAATTAAAGTATATACAGCTGATTTCCAAAAATGTAGTAGAAATTTGCACTCCCAAACATAATTTCTGATGGGTATTTTTCTTGCTTTTTGCTAGGGGAAGTATTATTTTTATTCTTGAACATTTACCTGTCAAACTAGGCTATATTTATTTTTATTTATTTTTATTTTTTACATTTTTTTTTAAATCTAGAAAGATTAGTTGTTTTTCTAAATGCTTACTGCCCATTTGTTTTTGTTTTTGATTTTTGGGGGGTTTTTTTGCAAATTGGTGGTTTCTATCCCTTGCCTGTTTTTATATTGAGGTAATAATATTTTTCAGTTTATTTGTAAGAGCTCACTCTAAATTAAAGTTATTAACGTTGTTCATGATATGGAGGGTACAAATATTTTTAATTTTTTTTAACAGTGTTAAATTGTTCTGAGGATTAAGTGTAGAAATTGTTTTCCTTTATGATTTTTCCATGGTTTTTATGCTTTAAAAGGCCTAGCCCCATCCCATGTTAATTTCTGCCTAGATTTTAACAATGTTTACTCTCTTAGTTTTTTAAAATAAATTGTGTTCTTTAGATGCACTTTATCTGGGCATAAGTGAGGGAATAATCCAATTTAAGATCTGCCTGAATACCTAGCGTGTGCACTCTCTGTAAACAGAGGCATTTCTAGTTTCTATGAGAGAAACTTTCCTGGCCCAGGCTTCTGTGGAAATGCTACTTGGGTGTAGCACCAGTGAGGGAAGAGGGCTGGACCAGGGTGTCTGAAACATACAGGTTAAATTGTCTGAGAGAGACTGTCAGAGTCCCTTATCCAGTCAATAACAAGCCTGCTAAATGGTAAATGACAGACTATAAGAAGCAAGACTGCAGAAATCACACACCCCTCCCCTGCAAGTGACTCTGCCTTAGTTCCCAAGATGACAGTGACCCTTTTCTTTGCTGATTCCCATGTGTGCTTCTTCTGAACATGTTGGAATGCATCAAAGTAAAATCAGCTGCTGTTTATTTACCTTCTTCTATTGCTTTTTATAGGACATTGGGAAAAAATACAGTGACCAGTAAGAGAAATGGACAGGGCAGAGTTAGTTGGAGTTAGTTTTGGGAAAGTATTTCTTCGTTGGTGAAAAATGAGGCAGTTGTTCTGCTGTCTGGGAGGCTGTGCAGTCCAGGTCACCTTTTGACTATGATAGGGTTGTCCTTAATTCCCCATAGAGCTCATGAATAAAATCAGATGGCAAATTGCTGGAAATTGTCATCATGTGGCAATACAAGGCTGTAATTCCTCCCCCAACCACTGCAGCCTGTGTCAGCCCCATTGTTTGTGTTACTGCTCTTCTGGAGCCCTATGGAATTACTCCCCTAGGAGAAGCCGTGGGCTATAACATTCCACTCCTAGAAAGGAGGCACTGCTGTCTTCTGCCTCTTTTAGAATTCTCCTAGGTCTGAATCTGAATAGAAATCAGAACTCATCTCACCCCTTTAGGAAGCAGGTTACCTCCTTAATGAGCCTTCTGATTCGCATATGTGATTTCTAAGTTCCATCTATGCCTGTAACAATTTTTCTCTCTTATTTTCATTAACAGAAAAATAACAAAATGACTGCAGCTCAGAAGGCTTTGGCTAAAGTTGACAAGAGTGGAATGAAAAGTATTGATACCTTTTTTGGTGCAAAAATTAAAAAAAAAACTGGAAAGATTTGAAAAGTTGAGAATGAAATCTAACAGAAGTACTTGCTTTGTCCATGTTTCATTTCTGTCCTTCTGACTGCCTTTGGGGTGGCGAGAAAAAGAGGACAACTTTGAGATTCCCTTAAACATTTCTTTGTGTTCATTTTTTGTGTTTCTGAAGAAAGTATGGGAAAGTAATTTTGTGACTTCAGGGCTGTAGCCATTGGAGTCTCATTTGACGTAATGAAAAGTATTTGAGTGAATAGAATTAACACACAGCACCATGGTCTCCTCAATAAACTGACTCTGACGATGTCGGTGCATACGCCTGTTACTTTATGCGACTTTACAGACAGCAGCTGTAGCAACATGGTTTTAACACACTGAGGGAATCTGGAAAACAAAGCTGCCAGGTAAACCATTGGTTTTTAAAAGCCTTCAGGTTCTGGTAAATCTTTTCATTAATGGTGTTTTTCTGTTTTAATAATCCATGTTCTATGTAGAAAATAAGAGAAAAGAGTTCCACAAAACTTGTAATTTCCCATTTCTTCATGACCCAGAAATAATATGGTATCTTAAAATAACATTTAAAAAAGGAATTACAATAGTAATCTTACAACGTTTTTTCATATACATCATTTTGTGAACATTTTCTCCAACTACCAAGTACTCGTCACAAATAGGATTTTAAATTATATAACAGTGTGATTTTCAATTATTTGAGTATTTGATTGTTTACCCCTGTGTGACTGTGTAGCCGGACTCCATAATTTACCCCTGTGTGACTGTGTAGCCGGACTCCATGATTTACCCCTGTGTGACTGTGTAG